AACACCATGAAATTCGGAATGGATTCCATATACTCCAACAAGGTATGGACTTTGATCGATCCACCCAAGGACCCAAGGGAATCTTTCCCGCTGGATGAAAGTGGATCTATAATTTTTAAGTTTGAATAGATGGAAAGGTATCGACCTATAAAGCTAGATACGTGAAAATGAGTTGTACTCTATGACAAGTTGTTGTCTGCGAGATAACTTTTCACCAAACACTATGCAATAATTTCGCTAGGATTTTTCTAGCCATTTCTACATAGTATGACAACTACGAGATATGGAAAATGGATATGAAGATCACCTTCCTCAATGGCGAGATTGGGGAAATCAGTGTGGTGTAGCCGAAAGGCTTCATATCTTCTGGAAATTAGCAATAGGTTTGCAAAATTCCAGCGACTCATTTATGGATTGAACATAGCATCCCATAAAAAAAGAATGTTCAGTTCGACACAAAAATCAGATTTAATAACGAATACGAAAGAGCCTTAAGTTTATAAGAAGGTTAGTGGGAGTGCCATTACGTTTCCCAGTACTTTGTGTTGATAGCATCTTACTCATTGGGAATGTTGTAGGGATGCTGCAGTCAACTAAAGCACGACTGTCCACACATTTCTCAATAAATGAATTTGCGATAAGCTTCCTATGTATTAGAGGATACGTATCATTAGAGAGAAATAGAAGAGGTCGCTTAGTTATCACAATTCATATTATAGACATGATATAATGTATGTAGTTAAGTGTCATTGTAGATATCAGTCTAACCCTAACCAAGTTAGTTAGATAGCTATGAAACAAATCATTAAATACTTGTGAAGTACTAAGGACTTGTTCATATATAGTCTACGGGGATTCCGAGTTGAAAATAATGTCGTTCGTTGACTTTAGTACTTCAATAGGAAGTGGACAACTCAAAAAGAACGTCGGGATTTATATTCATGCTTATTAACGTGGTGTCGTATGAGTTCCAAATGGACCATGACGGCGGATTCCACCTCCGAAGCTTAATAAATTGCGGCATTAGATGACGCAAATGTAGCAGTTTGGATTCGAAACTACGCAGTTTGGATTGCGGCATTAAAATGTTGAATGTATGATTTCAATAAGTCTCATCCGAAATTCAAGCATATACTGAATCATAATTATCTCATTTGTAAGATAATTAATAGAGGCGAACTTTAGCTCGAGAGAGTTGCCTCAGTAGACAATGTTTTAGATCCCTGAACTTAGCCTTTACCCAGCCCGGTCCATGAAAACATCGAGAGTCGATGGGACTTAGGTAATGAGTAGTTGGCTTTAGGTCAAGTGGGAGATTGTTAGAGTATGTGACTGAAGAGCCAACTAATTGATGTGTTTTCTCACGCTACTCATAAATAATCTATTTCATATTAATGATAAATACCCCCTTTGGCATTCTATATCTTTGTCCCTTGCATAGGCATAGATATAGTCCTTACAATTACTTAATTACTATAAATAGATCTAGTAGAATCGTGAGATTATTTAGTTAAGTATAGTAAATGTTAAACATAGTCCCTAGTCAACGGGTTACGCCAATAATGATGATATCGGCCTTTCCCATTTGAGACTCGCACTAAGTGTATGTGTACTGCGTCTCATCAGTTAACGGTGTTGTGACATCAGCATACATAAGTGGGTTCTCATAAGTTGATGAGTTCACTGAACTCCCTCGATCTAGAGATCTCTAAGTGGTTCCCAATAATCGAGTAGAGGTTTCTATGATATAGTTCTACACCATTAATCATTAAGACCCAGACATCACCGTGAGTTCATTAGAGGACCAGCTATATCGTGACTTGTCCCTGAGTTCCACCGAGGACTGCCCCAAGGGCCAATGTTCTTGCAGTCCGAAATCTAGAGGGAGGTATGTGCATTGTAGTAGGAGATTCGGTCGCTTGATTAGTCATGGATATCGTGTGTGTTCTTGTGATTTATAATCCATGAAGTCTGTGGCCATAGCTGAAAGTGTCGTGATTTGAGAAATGTGTTTCTCTAAGTCAAACACAAACAGATTATATAATCAAAATGTCCAAACAGTTATTGAACTCATAAAGAGTTCTCGATGAGCCAATGTCTCTAATTCAATCGGGATATATGTGTTGAAGCACAGTTCTTTCAGGCACTTCATTTGTATCAAGGGAATCATGACGCGTAGTTGCTAGTCGCCAATCTTGATTCGTTGGGTAATTAAGTTGAAACTAGATTCAACTTAATTATAGCTCTAGAGACGACTTTAAACCACAATGGGTTGTGGGCCCACGGCTAGCTTATACCTGAATCATCGAGGGTCACACTGCTCGTGTACTTGAGATCCTTAATGCAACGAGCTAAGATTAATTAGTTAATCTTAGTACAATTGGAAGTCAATGTGATTGAGTTCAACATTCGTAATTATTAATTACGTATGAGAATAAGTGGAGGAAAATAATTCGACGGAAAGTTTGTGAACTTTCTACATTGGGAAGTTTCCCGATTTCGCTGGTCCTAAATTAGGGTTTTCAATTTTGGAAATTGGTAAATTGTAATGTGCACCTCGTATCGACGAGAATTTGTGCTCGTCATCAAAATATAATTGTTATATTTTTCAAAGCATTTGTTTGTTAGAAACGAGCCGAGAAAGAGAGTGGACTTAAGTTGTTGGGCCTCGCCAAACTTAAAGCGTGTTAGGGTTTTCACAAGGACCATATAAATATGATTTACAAGTCTTTTGAAAGATAGAGATCACAAGCTTGAAACCCTAACCTCTCTCCCTCCATCAGCCATCCACCTTGCAGCCGAAACCCTACCTCCGCCACCAGCCGCCGCGCCGCCGCAAGTCGCCGCCTCATTGGCATCTTTCTTTTCCCTTCGTTCTTCTTCGTTGTACTTAGCATATCACATATCTAGTGTTGCGTGGATAGTGGATTGAATATATGAGGTGAAACCAAAGAGGAGGAAGATTCTTCTACCGCCAACGCCGCCACTAGGGTCGTCTGCACGAGCCGCCACAAGCCGGTGATGTGAGAAGGCAATTCTGAAAAACTGCTCTCGGATTTTCTCCGCAGTATTGTGAGGAAATTCATCATTAATCAACCAGTGATCGGATGGTCATTAAAGTTTGACAAGGGCCTCGCCCTTTATATACATAGATGGCCAATTATACAAACGTGGTTTCTCGCTATGATACTTAAAGTGCCTGCCTCCGACCAAGGCCGAATATGTCATCTGCGAGATTCATGAAGGAATCTGCTGGAACCACCTCAGTGGTCGATCCCTGGCTCTCAAAACTCTGAGACAAGGTTACTATTGGCCCACCATGTAAAACGATGCAAGAAATCTAGTAAAACGCTGTAAAGCATGCCAGGAACATGCCAACAATTCAGCACCAACTTTGGGCACTGATGCAGTCGGTGGTTGCCCGATCCCATTCGCCCAATGGGGTATGGACTTGGTGGGACCATTCCCGCAAGCCACGGGCCAAAGAAAATATCTAACAGTGGTCGTTCATTACTTCACCAAGTGGGTCGAGGCGGAGCCGCTAGCGCGAATCAGGGAGGAAGAGATAATCCAGTTCCTATGGAAAAATATAGTGTGTCGATTCGGGGTACCCAGAGCCCTAATGTCCGACAACGGCACCCAATTCTGCGGGGAGAAAGTTAGGGGATGGTGTCAAGGTATGTCAATTAAACAGTTCTTCACATCCGTGGCGAATCTCCAAGCCAATGGGCAAGCTGAAGTAACCAACCGCACTATAATACAACCCCAGCTAGGGAATGCCAAGGGTAGATGGGTCGATGAGCTCCCGAGTGTTCTTTGGGATTATCAAACAACCCCAAGAACCACCACGGGAGAGTCCCCATTCAACCTAGCTTTTGGAGCAGAAGTTGTCCCTCCCGCTGAGATAGGAGAACCGTCCTGGAGAATCACCCACTACTCCCCACTCAACAATAAGATAGCCATGAGAGCCTGCCTTGATTGGATTGAAAAAGTTCGGGAAACAACCTCCACCCGCAAGGAGATGTACAAGGCACGCATGGCGAAAGTGTATAACGCCAAGGTCAGGCCCAGATCATTCCAGGTAGAAGATCTAGTACTACGAAAAGCGGAGGCCTCGTGATCCATAGGCAAGCTGGACCCTAAGTGGGAGGGCCCCTACACATTCGTGGAAATAGTCAACATAGGAACTTATCGACTGCAGCACCCAGACGGCCGCCAAGAACCAAGGACATGGAACATAGCCAATCTAAGGCAATTCTATGCATGAAGAATAGGAAAGACCCATCAGGGACGACTCTTCTCCAGCTAAGTTTAGTTTTTAGTTTTAGTTTTTATTTTTCTCATGCTCTACAAGCAACTATTTCGCCATTTCGGCGCCAATAACGCACTATGCAATTTCGACATTAATAAAAGCATTTTGCTATTTCTACAAGCATTCTCCACAAATATTGTCAATATGCCAAAACCCATGGAGTTGGATTCTGCTCGCTAAGCTTACAAGAGTCTGGCCAACTCAGCTTCAGCAAAGTAGAACACTCAATGGGTCAACGACATTCGACTATGGATGCCTAGCCTCACACACGAGTTAGATCACAAAAAGACTAAACTCCGAGGACAGGTCCACGCTTATAAATCAAACCTCGAAAGACCGACTACGGGTGCCTAGCCTCATAAACGAGTTAGATCACAAAAAGACTAAACTCCGAGGACAGGTCCACCCTTACAAATCAAACCTCGAGAGACCGACCACGGGTGCCTAGTCTCATAAATGAGTTAGATCACAAAAGGACAAAGCTCTGAGTGCAGGTCCACCCTTACAACTTAAACCTCGAGAGGCTGATCACCTCCTCGAGTACGTTAAGTTTTTCTTACCTAAACATGGAAATACAAACCATCTACAAACATAGGGAGAACAAAAAAAGCGACACGATAGAGCAAGAGGATCAACATCCCCCCTCGCATTCTTCAACTTCTCGGCCTCAACATCCCCCCTCACGGCCTCAATCCGACAAGCAAACTGGGTTGGCCAACGCCGCAGTCAGATCCTTAACCTGCTCCCGAAGACTCATCTCCACATTGGAGGACTGGGTACCCCACTCCATCAGAGTCCTCCATAAAGCGGTAGCCTAAAAAAAATGTTTATCTACCAAGTGCATTCATAGAAGGATAGACGGAGGAGAGAATAGTTCACACTAACCCGACATAAGTCACCACCAGGTAGAGTCTTGATCGCGTCATCCGGCAACTCCGCGAGCTTCTCGCTATCACGCCCACCGATCAGGGACTCCGTCCAAGCCAACGCAATGTCAGCGCCGCCGCCCTCCTCCTTCTTTTCACACCACCGCCATTATCCACACACCCAACCACCGAGATCACAGCCGCCGTCTAGGGTTGTGCCGTCAAGACTTGCTACGGTGTCAAACCTCCCAAAAAACTCATGTTGTCGCCTCCTACACATCACACCACCTCCCTTTCGTTATTTTCGATTTTTTTCTTTACTTTTTTCTCTCCAGATCTGAAGCAGCAACATCAACGTGACTATAGTCTTTTGTTTTATATATAGATATATTTGATTTATTTGTTTGCTACTTATATATATATATATATATATATATATATATATATATATATATAAATATATATATATATATATATAATGATTTTTTTTTATGTATTTTTCGATTTCTCCTTTTTTTTTCAGATCTGAAAATTGTATATTCATATCTGAACAGCAGCAGTAACATGACTATAGTCATATTCAAATATGACTATAGTCATATTCGAATATGACTATAGTTATATTTATGTATTTTTTGAATGTGACTGTAGTCATATTCGAATATGACTATTGTTGAATATGACGGTAGTCATATTCGAATATGTTCTATCTTCTTGTTTTCAAGTTGACTTCTAATAACTAGATTCAAATTGTGATTTTTTGTGTCGATGTTGATTGGATTGTTTTCGTAAACAATAAGGAATCTTCGTTGATTTATATAAATTGGTGAACATGACTATACCACACCATATAATCAGAATTGTTAAGTTGAAAAAGTGAAAAACTACAATATAAAAAAAATATGAATAGTCTTAATATAGTCACATATAGTCATATTCAACTATAGTCATATTCGGCTTTGTAAATCTGTCGAAAAAATAATTTCAGTTTTTTTTTTAAAAAAAATTAAAAAAAATTAAAAATATATTTTTATTAGAAAAATAAATAAATAAATAATGGCTAAATAAAATTCAAAAATAATAAAAAATAAAATATAAAAAAATTATTTTTTTTATTTGGTAGCAAATTTTTAGGGATTTGGAAGAAGATTTTAAGGAATTAGATTATTGTTTTGGAAAGAGAGAAAAAATGAATAATTGAGAATAATTATGCTAATTGACATGAGGGTAGAATTGGAAATATAATTTCTAGGGGGTTATCATAAAGACAGATTTAAGGGGTGGACATATCACCATTTCTTATCTATATGAGGGGTTTATTGCTAATGACCACTTGCTTTAATTCATACTAGATGGGACTGTGTTTTATTTAATGGTTTAATAACAGTCATTAATGTTTTTTCGATTTCAGAAAAATCAAAGTCAGCGTTTTATATATCCAAACACGATTTGCTGCTGAAGAATATTATTTTTAATAATAATAATAAAATGTGATAACTATTTCTTTCGAATACCACTTTGGACTTACATAATTTCTTTCATTTATCAATAAGTTTATCTATTAATGACAACAATTTAAAGTTTTTGAACAAATTACATCTATCCTTACTCAATGACGTGACGGCGGCGGCAGGAGGGTCAACAGCTGTTGGGCAGATCTGAGGGTCGATGCGTCGAAACGGCGTCGTTCCGTAATGAGCGGAATAAAAGAAAAGCAGAAATCAAGCAGGCGTGTCGCCCGTCGAGCTACTCAGAAAGTAAATGGAAAAGAAAAGAAAAAGAGGCTCTGATTGGAGGGGCGAAACGATACGAGGTCGTTTCGTATTAAAAGAGGGCGGAAGAAAAACAAAAAGAAAAATTGCATAAAGAAAAAGGGGACGATCCCCATATATATATATATATATTTTTTTTTTTTTTTATTTAATTAAACTTTTATTTTTTCTTGCATGTCACTCTTTCCGAGGTTATTTAAATGTGTGTAAATTAAACAGAAATTTTTTTAGTCAAAAACACGAATCGTAAACCCTAACAATTTATTTTTGCATGTCATGTTATCATATTAAATATTTCATTTATATCTCTAAACATAACATTAACAAACTAATATTAAAGAATATCATATTCCATTTATTTTGAATTATTATTCATTCTCGAAAACGCTCACCAGATAAATAAAGGTACGAATTTGCACATATAATCACATAATATGCACATAATATGCACAAGATCTGCACATGATTTGCACATGAATCTGGTTGGGAAGTCAAGCAAAACAGTGCATAATTAATATAATATAATTTTCTTTCATAAATCATGAATAATTAGGAGAGACGACAATACCACGTTTGTTCAAACATAATATAATATATGTATGATTACTAATGCAAATATTTCCGTTGTTGTTTTTTTATGGTTTATTTCTTATGAGATTTATCTTGCAATGCATTATTTGTTTGAATGTAAAGTAAACATAACATAATATCCAATAAAACTTCTAAAATGTTCATAATTTTTAAAAAATAAGAACATGCCCGTCGATAAAAGTAAAACTAATAACTACTAAATTTCAGTTCAAAAAAATAAATAAAAATAAACACAACATAATATCCAATATAACTTCTAACAACAATTCATTATGTCAAAATCCTAAAACAAAACTTATAGGTGTATTTTTCGAAAAGTAAGTATTATATAATAGATATTATTTATAGGTGTATTTTTCCGAAAAATATCGGAATTTTTCATGATTGAGAGATGATGATGATGTTTTGTGTGTGTGTGTGTGTGTGTGTGTGTGTGTATATATATATATTTGTATTGAATTAAACTCTTGTATGTCACTCTTTCCCGGGTTAATGAAATGTGTGTGAATCGAATATATATTTGTTTTATCGAAAACACGAATTTTGAACCCTAACAGTTTTATTTTTGCATGTCATAAATATTTCAGTTAAGTCTCTGAACATAACATTAACGAATTAATATTAAACAAAATCATATTCCTTTTACTTTGAATCATTATTCATTCTTGAAACTCGCAAGAAAAATAAATACAGATTTGCACGTATAAACACATAATATGCACGAGATTTGCATTTAATGTGTACGTGAACTGGTTGGGTAGTCAAGCAAAATAATTTATAATTAATAGAATTTTCATTCATAAATCCTAAACAATTAGGAGAGACTACAATACCACGTTTGTTGAAACATAATATAATATATGTATGATTACCTGCTCATTCAATGAATTATTGTAACTTACAAGTATCCAAATTAAAGCATTAGAAGAAAACATTCGAATAATGTGCTTTAAAAGAACATTAATTAGGATTAAAATACTTGTTTTATGAATTATTCATTTCTTGAAATAATTTTTACATGAAATTATATTTTGTCCATTTACTTGATTTTGTGTTATAGGACAAAAGAAATATATATATATATATATATATACACAAAAGTTTCCAAAAGTATTTGAATAATTTGCTTTAAAATAACAATAATTAGGATAATTATAGTGGTACTTAGTGAAATATTCGTTTCTTGTAAATAATAGTTACATGAAAACATATTATATATATGTCTATTTGCTTGATTTTGTGTTATTCGACAAATTACATCCATCCTTAGGTAGTAGCAGCTACCTCCCCAGCAGCAACCGTTGGTGTACGATACTTCAAGTACACACTAATTTGTCCAACTCCAAGTATGAATCCAACAATGTTGGGAACCTACAAAATAAATTTATAAGCTTAGAACATTTATTTAACAAAGTTTAATTATTTATTAAAATTTTATATTTACTTACCAAGATATTATCATCTTCTAAAAGAAACCCATAAATTTCCAAGATGGTTGCGTTACCAGTCAGAACGCATGTCAATGTAATGGGTATAAACTCCACACTACCTGACTTGATAGCTCGAACCTTTTTTTAAAAGGAAAAAGAATTATATATATATAAATACTAACAAATAAATAAAATTAATTCAAATTTCAAATTGATGTAAATTTAAAATAACTCTTACCACTGTACCAAGTGTGGCCCCGTACACTAACACAGAAGCTCCCAAGCAAAACCATCCTACTATGTCTAACCTCGTGTTACCCTTCCACGTAAAGTTCGTGAGAAGGATAAACGAGCATAAAATGCAAGAAACGAGGCCAATCACTTTGACGGTGTAAACCTTCGTCCAAATAAAAAATATCTTAGCAAAATCTTCATAATATTGATTTTTTTTTTAATTAATTTTATGAATTACTTACTCGGTAATTGTAGGCGGAGTAATAGAAGTACATGCAGATATACACAAACTCAACGAGACAGCCAAAAGCATTGATGGAGATAAGTGTGGTGGCTTTGGCATCAAGAACGCCATAGTAAAGCCAGATGGCTGATGAAAAAAGTGCAACGACGTAGGGTATCAAAGGATACCCCGTCGTTGACTTTAATTGGCGTATTCTTCTAAATGTTACCCTATAGAAACAAGGAAACAATTACGATAATATCAGTATGTTATAGTCTACCGTACTTTTGATGCGTCGAATATTAAATAAATAAATGGGCAAATATTATGTAATCTCAAACAAACTTACGCAGGAGAAAGATAGACCATCACCAAGACAA